AAGCATACTAAATGTATCAATCATAAGCTTTTCAAATTAATCTCAAATAAACTTCCCATGCAACACACACGAGTGACACCTGAGGTCATTTATTTACAACTGGACATGTCATTCAAGTCAGAGTATTATCTAAAAATACAAAGCAATAGGAAATAAATACATTCAGTTGAATTCGGTCAAGGTTTTACCATAATGTTGTACAATCTTGAAACCTTTATCTTGGAAAAGTTTCACATACTAATTTTTTGTTTACCAATTTATCAGTAATATTCTAAAGACTCAATGCTTCAATCATGCAGTTTGTAATGTAAAAATAAACCCATTAAGAAGTAGAACAAAAAACCCAAAGGAGGGCTGTGCAGTGAGAAAACCAAGCTGCTCATTCTGTCCAAAGTTGTGCTGTATTTCCTGGAGCTGCACACAGCAGACCGTGTGTCAGCGGTGGCCTGTGGTGCAGTTTTGATGCAAAAGCGAGTGAAACAGGTAATTGTTATTCCTCGCCACACCTCCTTATCCTCTAAAGCGCACCGACATCAGTAACTGCACCTGAAACTCTGGTGCATGTTGGAGTGGAAGGTACTTTTTAACGAATGGAAAGCTGCACATGCCCTTGAACACTCATGATGCGCTGATGAACGCTGAGGTCTCGAGATGTGCAATACTCCACGGGTCCAATTATACACATATTTGATGGTCAGGCAACAGCTGCCTGGAGGTTCATGGAGGTGGAGCGAGAGAGTGCAAACTACCACACTCACTGCAGAAGAAAATTGCAAACAAAAACTATAAATATTAAGGTAAAGTATTGCTGGTTATGAACTCACATTAACGAATGCCTGGATTTAATGCCCAGTTATAGGTTGGTACATTGCGCTCGTGCTGCTGCTTGATTCTGCACAAATGAGATGAGCTCTACGCATCAATCTGAGTTGATCAAGCAGTCGAAGCGAAGCTGATCTTGGCACGGCGATCCGCACACCTCTTGGCAGGAGTGTCTGCTTTTGATGCGATGTGCCGTGTTAGGCCAATTCCCACGGATTAATCTCTTCCCCAACAGCAGCGTTTAAAACACAGGCCAACATTTGACTTTGGTGCAAATTTGTGGATGAACGTGCTTACTCACTGATGCATATTAAACAGAAAACACTTCCTCAGGCTAGTGGAACTGAATCTGATTGGCTAGTTTTACACAATTTAAACACTTAGGCTAATCCACTTGGAAACAAAGTCACGAAATAGCTAACGTTTGCCAGGTTAGTTGCAACAAATCTTTGTATGAGTTTTTTAAGCTTACTGTAAGCATCTGTGAAATATGTACATTTTCTTTACACATTTTAAACTCCTTTTAGTGTTTTCTGTATATCTTTTGAATAGGCTGCTGCATCATTATTTGAATTATTTATTTTCCCACTCAAGTCTGTTATTGTGATATAATGTGTTCAGACAAATCCACAACATTTTACACTATTTTATGTGTTTTCTGTACAACTTTTTGCATAGGCTGCTGCACCATAATGCAAATGATTTATTTTTCCATTTCAGTCTGTTATTGTGGTATAATCTCTTCAGACAACCCTGCAATATTTTACACTATTTGTAATATATGTGTGGCATAATAGGTAAGATGGGCGTGATTTCCCGAATTGAATTGTTAGGGCGGGCATTTTTGCGTCATTGATTGTACAGTCTATAAAAGCCATTGGCTTCTGTATCTGGGCAGGCATCATTTCCCGGATGGGGTAGGGCTTCTGCAGTTTCTGCTGAACGTGACCGTGGGTAAGTAAAGGTGGGTTAAGGCAGCCTTTGGTGTATTTCACGGCTTGTTTTATTCTGGGTTTGGTGTTTTGGTTGGTTTGCGTTAGTATCTGGTCTGTGCTCTCGTTGGTGGGAGAGCGGCTGCGTGTACAGCCTTGTTTGGCGTTTAGCCGCGGCTGCGCTGTTCGGCTGATGAATGTGATCGCATCGGTCCTCCTCCAGGTATGGGTTTGTTTTATTATACGCTGCTCAGTCATGGAAGAGGTGCGAATCGCAATTTGTCAGTGAATGTTTTGCGTACGGGTGTCGGCTGTTGTATATAGGCTGTGTGTTTAATCATTCGGCTTCATCCTTTTCCCGCAGAAATCATTTGGGTGGATAATATCCCCGCAGTGGCGGCACCGCTGTCTCGTTCCAGGTCGAACTTCATTGAGTCTGTGTGTGCGTTGAGTCCCGGTCGTGTTGTTGGACCTATGCCAACGGACTTTGTCTTAGTTGTGTACAGGTTTTGTGTCTGAAAGTTTGAGTCTTTATTTTGTGTTTTAGTTTTGTTTGATTTTCTATTTTCTTTTTCAAATTAGTCTATTTTCTGTGTATAAGTTACTTATTTTTGGAGTTGGATTATATATATATTTTTTGCTTTTTGTTAATATTGTGAAATCTTGTATTGTTAATTTAGTTACCTTAGTTTTTTGTTGTGATTTTCATTTAAAGTGTATTACTTGAGATTTGTGTAAGTTGTGATCTGGGACGATTCGTATTAATTGGTGTGTGAGTGTGTGAGCGTCTTTTTTTTGTTTGTTTTTTTTTGTTTTTTTTGTTTTTTTTCCTTTAGGAGCTGCTGGCCTTTATTGACCAGGGTCGATGATCTCCTCTTTAGACGGTGGTGGTGGTGGTTCTTCATTGTGTGTTGTGGCCTTTGGCATGCACTGGGGTTTTTATTTTGGTATGTGAGTGTGTTATGTAGATTAGGAGCCCTTTCTGGAAAGTCTTTCCTGTACTTTAGGCCACAGCTCCATGACATTTTGAATGATTAACGATCGTATAAACCTTTCTAAATTGATGTTTCTATTTTATTGATTTTATGCTACCTTAATAAAAGATTGGTGTTTGATACCTGTGTCTCCACGTTTTGCTTGCCACTGGGTAGGGGACTTGTGCAAAATTTACGGAGATTCTTTGGGTGAAATTCCCAAGGTGGCATAGTCAGGCATTCTTTAATTTTAGTTTTTATTTAAGATTCTGTTTAAATTTATTTAGTGACATCTAGGTGGGCCATTCCAGGCCCCGGCCACATATGCATTATTTATCTTTCCATTCCTGTCTATTATTGCAGTATAATCTATTAAGATGAACCCACAACTCAATGCCACATACAAGCAAAGCAAACCGTCGGTGGTTGGTCACTTCCTGTCATGAGTGGATTTTTGGCCGGAATGAGCTGCGACGCCATAGTCAAATGTTTACAAATGTTGAAGCTATATATATATATACACACTCTAAAAAATGCTGGGTTAAATATAACCCAGCACTGGGTTAAAAAGGGACAAACCCATGTTTCCAGCATCGTATACTATTGTGCGTGACTTTATTTTGTTGAGTGCAAGCAGTCAATGAAATGAACACTGTCAGAGATTAAACCAAGCAGAGTATGAGAAAGGTCAAACATGAGTTGCGAAGAAATGTTGTGCCGCATGAAAAATTAATGCTAGTGAACGTTCAGTACGTCTGTGATTGTGAGGAACATTCACTGTATAACGTCTGACAGCTGTGATCCCACTGCTTTCTGACTGCTCTGAAAGTACAGAAGCGCCTGACGACACTCAAATGTGAGCTATAAATTGTCTGTTCACATCAATGCTGCACCCTCCCATAAGACTTTGATCTGTTAAAGAAAACCTGAATATAAATCAGGTTATACCTTGATGTGGAGCCCTAGTGCTTATGTGTCTATTTTATAAAGATGAAAATCGGCAGCTCATATGTTTATAATGGCATCTCGGGTCACTATATGCCTCAGATGGTAAACAGAGATGTTTGGTAGTTACATAGTTTTCTGAAATGCATGCAGAAGCATAATATGATGTAAATGCACCCGTTCATGATGCTAATCTGCAGTGTTTTTCATGTGGCATGATGTCGATGTCGACTGACCTTTGCCGGCGCTGAAGTCCCCGGGGTCAGTGGCCCTCCTGTGTGCGATGGGCTGGAGGCTCGGGATGAGAATGAGAGAGAAAGAGAGGACCAGCACCTAGGAAAAGAAGGAATATTAAACGAGAGGAAGTAAATAAGCAAGTCCTGCAAATATGGGTCAGCTGATGACCTACATCTAAACGGCATTTTCCAGTCAACACTTTCATTATAATCATCATCCTCATTCTCGTTCTCTTTCTGCTACATGCACAGGAAAGATGAAAAGATGCAGAAAAACAAGAATCAGCAATATTGCAATACATTTTTTTTTCATATAATTTTCTTTATATACGTAATTATGTATACCATTTAGAAGTTTGGGTTTGGTGAGAATTTTTTTTTTTTTAATGTTTCTGAAACATCTTGTTCTTTATTTCTCACCAAGGCTGAATTTGTTTGACCAAAACTGCAGTAAAAATTTAAAAATAGTTGTACAATTTTAAATAACTGTGTTCTATTTAAATATATTTTAAATGTAATTTATTTCTGGGATCAAAGCTGAATTTTCAGCATCATTACTCCAGTCTTCAGTGTCACATGATCCTTCAGAAATCATTCTAATATACTGATTTGCTGCTCAGGAAGCATTTCTGATTATTATATTTTTCAGGATGAATAGAAAGTTTAAAAGAACTGCATTTATTTAAACGGAAATCTTTTGTTACATTATAAATGCCTCTACTGTCACTTTTGATCAATTTAATGCATCTTTGCTTTAAATAAAATTTGTAATTTCTTTACAAAAAACTAAAACTCTAAAAAAAAGAACAGTAGTGTACATTAGTAAATTATAATTATTGTTCCCTCTGGTATATTTTTCATTCACTTTCAATGCGTTTGCATTTCTTTCAGAGGAGTACGTGAAGAGCAAAGCTCAAAACATTTGGAAGAAATTATCTGAAAAGATCCTTTAATAAAATATTAATTTAATAAAGCATTACTATTTATATATTAAATCACTATATTATTTCATTAAATATAATATTTAATTACTAACTTTTTACATTTGAGACTTTAGTCTTTGCAACTTTACAGATCTTCTTTATGCACCAAGAGCTTGTAACACTCCAAAGAGAAAGGAAAAATTGAAATCGCATCATATGACCCCTTTAATGCATAGCCAATCATGGTTTATTGCTCTAATTTAGGCTTTGTTTTCATTAGAATTTTCCTTTAAATGTAATAGCTGATTTTATAGCATGTTAAATAGACTATAAAATAACCAGTAAAAGATTGAAAGAAGAGACATTTCGTAAATGAATCTCATAATGGAATGTGATTTGATGAGGGTCAGGTTTATAGCACAGTTAAAAAGCTAGTTTACATCAGCAGGTTATAAACCTACATATTTGACAGCAGTGGATCTCAACTGGTGCGTCACATTGTAACTGTCCATGGTTTGTTTCTTGAAAGGTTTATTTATTGGGGTGTTCTTAGTTTATTTTTAAGGACATTTTAGTTTTCTTTTGTACAATAAGCAGTTTCAGTACTGTGTTGGTCCACTTGATGTCCAATGTAAATCCAGATCTTGAAGTGTGAAACTATTTGAGAATCACTGATTCATGAGTTCGCACTAACATATAATGTGATTGAGCAATTAGTAGCATATTTGGCGTGCTGTCCAGAGGGAGGGCTCCGAGCTCTGGTTAAAGCCCGAACCCAGAGAACTCGCCCCCCATCCCAAGAATGGGATGAAATTAGATTAGTAGTGAGGTGTTGGGGTGGAGGCGGGATGCTGGAAAACTTTTGTGGAACTGAGGTAAGTTGGCTGTATATATATATACACATATTGTGCTTGTTAAGGTGATTAGCTGACGAGCTCCACCTGGGCCAGACTGATTGATTATCTGATCGTGCTCCTCCCGAACCTTGTTAATAAAACGTACTCGGTTACTGACGTAACCTCGGTTCCCTTTCAATACTTCACTTCGTACTGCGTCGCTAGACGCTACGGGAAACTCCTTTTCTCCGATTTACTGAAACCTTTTTTTTTTTCAATCACAGCAGTGCATCTGCACTGCCATTGTTTCAGAAATGAACCAATGATGGTGCAGCAGAGCTGCGCGAGCTTATGGCGAAGCAGCGCGCCCGAACCCGCCAAAATGGGCGGGGCATCTGGCTATATAAGCAGGTGCTCGGCATAGGATCACTGATTCATATCGACTGAAGCGACGACAGAGTCGTGCAGCATCATAGCATGGCTAGCTACGCAGTACTCCTTCCCGTATCTCAGGGAGCCGAGGTTACGTTAGTAACCGAGTACGTTCCCTTTCGATGCTTAGGGGTCAAGGGGTTGAATTGGTTCGGGCGGCGGGTCGCTGTGAAGGGACCCGGGGCTCGCCATGTTTGGACGAGGAAATTTGCTCTCTTTTTGAGTATGTTTGTGTTTTATTTTGTCCGCTATCACAGCAGTTGTACACTTGGGCGCTAGAACGGGCCCTTTGCATGCAATAAACAAATTTTTCCCAGCACCCGGAACTGGACGGGGCAACTTGGAACACATACGAGGCAGTTTGGGGGGTGGTCCGGCCGCATTTGATAGGACACGGATAAGCTCGGTGTCCGTACCAACCCTGGCGTCGATTGGCTCCGCGGACGGCAAGGGGGCGGGGTCAGCAATGGAGCCCAACCAATCCTCAGCATCCGAGGCCGCTAGGGACATACTGTCATCGAGCAGCTCGTCATCCGATCCCCCAAATGAGACCAGGTCACTCGCGATGGCAGAGGGGCGCTGGTCTGGATGGGAGAATGAGACGGGGGAAACCTCTCTTTGTGGAGAGAGTGAGGTACGCAGGCCTTGAGCCGACGTAAGCTCACTCATACCCGAGCGCTGTGATCCTCTACCCCGCTGTTTTTTCCTCACAGGTTCCTGGGAGGAAGGAAACGGGGGGGCGCGAGGGGCGGGGTCGCTTTCTGAAAAGAAAGCTATCCGCGAGCGCAAAGAGGCGCGACTCATTGAGACCCGTCAAGAGCCGTGGCGCGATATTTGCAACAACGTCGCAGGAAATTTGTTCTTTTTTGTTACCACAAGCAGGAAAGCGTCACACAGGCGCTCTGCAGACGGCTTGTGAGCGAAGTGCTGACCGGGGCTGCCTTGAGAGCGACGCGGGAACAGAGCTGCTTGAAGCGGCTATCTGATTCGGTGCTGCAAAGCGGCGCGCTGATCGATGCTGCTTGAGAGCGGCGAGCTGTGGGCGGCGAGCTGTGGGTGGCGAGCTGCAAGCGGCGAGCTGTGGGCGGCGAGCTGCAAGCGGTGAGCAGAGAGCGGAGGCGGCGAGCTGATCTTGCTGCTGCAGAACGGTGGCTGGATCAGCTTGCAGGCGAAGGCTTCAAATCTCGTAGAATCAGCGAAGAGCAGTAGATGTCGTCGCTGAAGGAGAAAGAATCAGTGATCCTATGCCGAGCACCTGCTTATATAGCCAGATGCCCCGCTCATTTTGGCGGGCTCGGGCGCGCTGCTTCGCCATAGGCTCGCACAGCTCCGCTGCGCCGTCATTGGTTCATTTCGGAAACAATGGCAGTGCAGATGCACTGCTGTGATTGAAAAAAAAAGGCTTCAGTAAATCGGAGAAAAGGAGTTTCCCGTAGCGTCTAGCGACGCAGTACGAAGTGAAGTATCAAAAGGGAACATCATTTTATAGCCTTGTCAAAGTGGAGCTGATCTGATATTATTGTAAAACGAGACTTACGTGTTGGTTTTCTCAAGCTGGAAGACTTTCCTCTGTAATTCTTGATTCTGAGCGCTGCAGGCAGCCATCCTAGACCAGAGTATATTGGCCAATTATTCATAGTGATAAATCTGACCTACAAACACTCCCACACACCCTCTGTCTGTCACAGCTGCTGCGTGTGCGCACACACACACACACACACACACAAACACTCCCTATATAGTGCATGTGGTGCTGGTAGCATTAATTACATTAGACGATAATTCAATAATACTTGTTGGTCCAGTACTTCTCATGAATGGGAGATAAATGAGCCGTAACACTAGATTTCTAATTTGCACAATGACAAACATTTTAGAGGTTTTACTGGATTCAGATGAATCTCATAAAACATAATATCCAGGTCACATTTCACCCCAAAATCAATAAACAAGGAGAATATATTCTACTAGCTGTTCAGGGGGCCCAGAAACCACAGCGGCACCCCTGCCCACAGGTGTCTGTTAGTGTAAGTTCACACGACTGACTTGTGAATAAAAAAACAGCTAGATGGCTGTGGTGCTTTTAGTGACTGCAGCGCTGGCTGTGAAGTAAATTTGTCTTTTGGACAGATAAACCCACGAGCTCTTCATTAGAGGGCAATTTCATGCCCGAAATTTGTGCAGCAGTGTGTTCTAAATTATTTCTCCAGCCTCTCGGAGGATATTCGATTCCTTTGATCCTAAACTAAGATAAGTTTGAGCCTGGATTTTTAATGACTTTCGACCTCAATTTCAACTTTACTGCAAGTTTATTTAGTAATGAGTGTTTCTTTGATATCATATTCATTCATTCAGACTGTGTTTACTTGTACCAAAACCAGGACATCTGAGGTGAACGCTATTATTGTGCGCAAGTCAGGTACATACTGTACAGCAGTTCACAGTAAAACACTAGACTTTAAAGAAATCTCTTATTCTCACCAAGAATGCATTTATTTAATAAAAAATACAGTAAAAACATTAATACTGTGAAATATACCATTTTAAAGAACTGTTTTATATTTGAATATATTTTAAAATATAATTTATTTCTGTGATTAAAGCTGAATTTTCAGCAGTCTTCATTGTCACATGATCCTTCAGAAATCATTCTAATATGCTGATTTGCTGCTCAAGAAACATTTTTTCTTATTATTATATTATTATTATTATTATTATTATTATTATTATTATATATAAACAATTGTGCTGCTTCATATTTTTGTGGAAACCATGATACATTTTTTGATGAATATGAGGTTCATGAGAGCCGCAGAAATAGAAATACAAATGTCTTTCCTGTCACTTTTGATCAATATAATGTATCCTCTCTGAGTAAAAACAGTAATTTCTTAAAAAAAAAAAAAACTTACTAAACCTCAAATTTTGAACGACTATGTATTTAGATCTGTTTTCTCATTCTACTGTATATTTTTAATGTGAGACAAGAGATTTGTAAGCTGAAATGGTTGAAATGATGCCTGAATTTAAAAGTATATAAATGTTATATTATGTTATATATGTATATGTATGTATGCATGTATACACACAGTATATGCTTGTCTATAATCACCTTCCCTCCAGTCCATCTACATATTCCTTCTTTTTCTTGCGGCTCTCCTGTGCCGACTGCTTGTTCCGGATTTTCCTCCGAATCTTCTTCAAAATCTTTTCTTCGTACTAAGAAAATCATGAGAGAATGGGCCAGACAAAATGTTAAGATGAATTCATCTAGAAATGAGATGCACAGGAGTCTACATTTCAAGCAATTATTTTGTTAGGTCTGAAACCGCAGGCGACATCTGAGTCAAATCAAATCAGCTTAATCTTGTCATTATCTATTATTCTAGCACACAGAGGGAGAGAAACCTCGGCAGCTGAAAGGAATTAGGTGTTATTTTGATGAGAGGTGCCTTTCATCACTGACATCATTCATCTCAGCCTCTATAAAAGCTTCCTTCCTTCCTACTGATGTCTGATCAGGCTTCCAGCAGTAAACGTGGAGGAATGACACGTGGAAAGGTTGTTACTGTGATGATATTACAAGAGTGGTCATATGATGTTATGATGTCATAACCACAGGTGTGAGAGATGTGTACCAAAGACTTTATAGGTATAACAATATGGTGCACTTTTATCACTACAAATGGGAGAATATGCAATGCAAAATATAATGGAATAAGTCCCATCTTCTAAATAAAAATAGCCAATCGGTGTCATTGCATCAAAAACATCACAGTGAATCTTGTGAAGTAAAAAGCTGCTTGTTTGTATAAAACAAAACCATAATCATTAAGGCAACTTTAAACCAAAATACGAGTCCATAGTCCATAATAATGCTTCCTCCAGTGAAAAAGTCCATCCCCTGTTGTCCTCACATCAAAATCAACCCACATATTTATTTAGAACTGTTTTGGACTGTTTTCACTTGTATGCGATGCTTGATCTGTGCAGATTTCTCTCCTGATTCTTACAAGATGAATTTTTCAATAAAGAAAGCAATATTATGGATAGAGTCCAGTTTGAAGTGGAAAACGTCAGCGCTTCACAATACATTAATTGTGGATTATTGTGATGTTTTTATCAGCTGTTTGGACTCTCATTCTGACGGCACCCATTCACTGGAGAGGATCCATTGGTGAGCAAGTAATGTAATGCTAAATTTCTCCAAATGTATTCTGATAAAGAAACACATTGTTGGATGGCCTGAGGGTGTCAATTTTCTGCATATTTTTATTTTTGGGTTAACTATTCCGTCAACACTATTTGTTTATGTCAGATTTCATGTTGGTTTGAAATGTGTTATTTATTAATTGTAAATCACTTCTTGATTTCCCCATTCAAATACATAGGAATTGGTTTTGGATGCCCAAAATGGTTGCAAACATAGCTACCAAGTGAACAGACTTTCCTTGACTGGAACAAGAGGTTGAGGTTTTAGCTGGTTAGCTAATTACGGTGGAGTTTCAGATTGAGGGCGTGGTTTTGGAGAGATGGGTGTGGTCTAATTCAGATAGAACCTGTGTGTTCAAAATACCTTGTTAAGAGGCAGCTGGCTGGGAAGACTGACTCCTTCCTTGGCTAAAAGTTTCTTCTCATCTTCATTAAGAATCAGTTCTTGCTGGGATTGCTGGGTGGAGGGTTTCGACTAGACAGAAACACACATTTTGTTTCATGTTCTTTCAAATTTGTATTGCATATTATAATTTATTTTGTAAGCAGCTGTGGATATTATTAGTTGGGACGAAGCTGCAAATTGCCACACAAGGACACTCCACTTAGTCTCAGGAATCAATGCATTGCATTGCATAATGACAACAAATCCTTTCAGACTCAGGAATTCAGGAAAGTGCTACATCAATACATCTGCTCACTTGTTTTTTTCTGGCTTACATCACAACACATAAATCAATGACTCAACGCAGCAACAAGCCAAATACTGAAACAGCATCTGTGGAGGTATTAAAGTGTTGTGAAATGCAGTAACAACTCTCTATTGCGCTTTATGTTGCCCGGGAATGTTTACAGGTCAAAGTCATTACCAGTGAGCTACAGGAAGAGCTGTTTGATTGAACACATTGGCCACTCCATCCTAAACATGCCGTTATCTTTTTAAAAAACACTATTAAGCTGCCTCGATGTGTTCTGTGTGTGTGTGTGTGTGTGTGTGGTGTTAAGACGCCATGTGGTGATGGAAAGTTCAACTTTTAAAGACCCCTATGTTCCATTCCATTTTTTAAATTATATATATATTTTAGCAGTGATGCATTTATGCTGATAACATGCAGTTTGCATGCTTTCGGAATTGAATGTTGAGACTTACGCCAGTCCATTGGGGTGCAGCTTGTGCTGATTTTTATTTATTTATTTATTTATTTATTATTTTTTGAGTGTCCTTGAGTTTTTAAGCTAAAAGCTTTTTAAAATGCTCCTGAGACACTTGCATGCTGATGCACTGCATTTCACTCATTCTAGATGAACTGAATGCATGTCAGGTCAACCTGAGCCAGTTAAATTATAGGGCTTCCTTAAAATTGATTAGCTGGTCATTTAGGCAACCCATGGGCTAGTTGTTTTCGAAAATATGTTGGTTTTCACATTCCTAGCACACAAAAACTGGGTGATTTGTAATTGTTTTTCATCTTTTCTTTTTAGTATTTAATTGTATATGCACTGGCAGACAAAAGCTTGGGATAATTAAGATTTTTTTTTCATGTTGTTGAAAGAAGTCTTATGCTCACCCAGGCTGCATTTATTTAACAAAATTTCAAATTTCAGTATATCCTACGTACAACCTTAAAATGTTGTCTAGGTTTTGGAACAGAGCTATGTGTTTTTCTCTTTCTCTGTCATGGATTTCTTCCCGAGTTCCTCCACATATGAAATCTGACAGCTCCACTGCTCTCTCTCTCTTCCTCTCCTCATGCCGGTTGTCATTAGCATCCGTGTGTATGTCACACTAGCTGTATGTTTCACACTGAATGTCTCGGCAGGACAGTTGAGTGACACACACTGCATGGTGTCTGTTTATGTTCTCTCGGTGCACTACTCACCACTTCTCCGATGTTGGAAAGCAGCAGGTCTTTAACGGTGAGCTGGTTAACGGTGGCTGGTTGAGTTCTCTGCACTGCTGACGTGCACTGAGAGTCTGTCAGACCGTCGGAGAACAGACAGGCCTCCCAATCTTCTGCTCGCGCACACACACACACACACACACACAAACAGAATGCGTTTACATCACACTGTGTCTAAAGACCAGCAGACAACAAAGATTTTTTCAGTTTCTTAGTGGTTGTTAGTACACTACTGTGTGGTAGATAGTGTTCTGGTGGTTTCTAGGGTGTTGCTAAGGTGTTCTTAGCACATTTATATGTGGTTGCTGCTGTTCTTGAGTGTTGCTAGGTGGTTGCTAATGTGTTTTGATGGTTTTTAGCACATTGCTATTTGGCTATTGCTAATAATAGTGCATTAATGCAGCACTGTTAACGCGGTGTCTATTTGACCCTATTAATCACCCATAGGGTTGCCAGGTCCACGATTTTCCTTCACCAAATATTATTTGTAATGTGCCTCCCATCCAATAATCACAAAGAGCTTTGTGCTTTGTTACGGCCGATAAGAAACAAAGTCTCAGCTTTCAAATCCTGTACATTTTATCACAAAATTCAAACAATTCATGCCATTTTGACGCTTAAATGTGACGTGACAGATTGCTGAAGCTCTTGTTCAAGCGGCAGTCTATTCCAAGTTCATAGAAGTTATAGCACAGAAGGCACAGTGCCCTCCACTAATATTAGCACCCTTGGTAAATATGACCAAAGGTATAAATACATAAATTCTTGTATATTACACTTTAAACACACAATTACATAAAGATTGTTGACATTTTTTGACTGTAATATTTTAGTATCATTTATCATGAATTTGTATTTCCTTTTTTAAATTTGTTACAATTCTAGTAATTTTATTGTGTTTGTTTGTTTGTTTTTTTCTTTTAATGTCTATATAGTTTTTATTCATTTTTATTTTTGTTTGTTATTTTTAGTATATCAAGTTAAGCTAAACTGTAGCTGAAATATATTCAAAGTTCACAGTTCAAATTTCAAGTAACAAAGTGGGTTTTTATGGTTTTAGTAACTGTTTGAAGAGTGAAATCTCACCCAGGTCAATGGAGATATCAGGCTCTGTGTTTGCGACAGGTGCGTCCTGCTGCTGAAGATGCTGAGGGAGAAGATGAGGATGCTGAGGGAGGAAGATGGAGTTGAAAAGCGGGCTGGCGGACGGGGGCGGGCTGTCCAGGTGGTCAGACGGGGTGTCGTCACTGATTCCGCTGTCAGAGGGTGAGGGGACCCACAGAGGAGAGCAGGGCTGCGACACGCCATCTGACCCTTGCAACAGGGAGTCCAAGAAGTTATCAACAACACCTTCTTCACCATGACACAGAATCTGCAGGAACACAAAGGAGTCACACAAAACTGTAACGTATCTGACTCATAGATGATAAATGCACCCACCTGAGTCTCAGCACAAACACACACACACACACACACACACACACACACATATATATATATATATATATATAATAGACAAAATAAAAATGTTTACATTTTTTATTAAAATTATATACAATTTGTAGTGTATATTTTGAAACAAATATATTTAGCCTTGAATTGTTAATTTTCAACAGTTTTCTGTTTTCAACATGCCTGTCCGCAATATGGCTTTGCACACTTGTTAGTATTTGCTAACAGCAGCTTTAACAAATTAACCCAACCATGACATTCATTCAATTTCCCTGATGTAACACCACATTTCAAGGGAAATCAAACTGTGAAAGCACTCCTGATGCAATGCATACATTTTATGTTGTGGCCTAATGGTTAGAGAGTCGGACTCATATAAGAGACTTCTAAAACATTTTTAAAAATCTTTAATATATAAATATTAAGCTTTTGCATCTGGATGGTGCCTATGATGTCTTAAAATGCTGACCGTGTACACAGGTCGCTAGGTTTTTGACTTGCACGCACACACACACACACAGACACACACACACACACACAACAGTGTCAGACACAAACACACAGAAGTTGACGGATAAATTTGGGTCAGACATGTAATATGCTGTCACTGTGTTTACAGGAAGCCTTTCAGGGTGTCTCATTAATTAACCAAATTAAAATAACTAATAACTATAATAATTTTCTCAGCATGCTCTCAGCAGGAAGGTTGTCTTGCGATTTATCATATAAACTCAGGTCACAAATATCAAATGCCAGTTCACTCACGCTTTGATCTGTGATTGACCATGCTGGGTTGCCATGGTCACCATTGCTGTCCATGTGAGGGTCCATATGGGGCTCGAGGAGCAGGTCTAGGAGTTCAGTCCCAGAGTAACCCTGAGATATAGAGGAAAGATGAGAAGTTAGAGGAAACGGGAAAAACAAATGTATGCCATGACATAAGGTGCTTTCACACATTACACCTGGTAAATTACTGTAAAAAATACTGGCATTCTGTCTTTTTACCATTAAGATACGATACCATTCACACATCAGAACCAAACTACAGATAAATTGTGTCACATCAGTCAACAGAATGACCTTTAAATGCTGTGTCGTTTCTTCTTCTGTCAGGATGAGAAGCACTTTTCATACTTGAAATAGCTAACCTTGTGTCATTCTAACGGAATCTTGGTTATATCTTCCTTTATGTGTCAACCTCATGCTTTACAATTAAACCTGCACTCTAAAAAGATGGTTCTTTAAGCACTTTTATGCTGAAATGGTTCTTTGTGTTAGAGTTTAAGGTTCTTTATTCCTGCCGTTTTGATTTTCAAATCTGTAACTGCCAGCTGTCAATCATCCAGAAACACAGACTGTTAGCACACTCTCAACAGGTAAAGAATTTCATTCTTAATGCCTAACTTTCAAAATGTAACAGGTTTGCTACCAATCATGTCTTTTCCTATTTTTAGTTTTTGCTCAGTTGAGGATATTTCTCTCCTCTTCTCTGCTATGTAAGTAACAGGGATATTGAATGTATGGTCCATATTGTTGTCTTAAATTATTGCTTGTGTTACCTTGCATTGCCTTTTACCATTGTGAAGGGTTCACAGTACTTTCATAAACGTAATTGGAAATGGAAGAGACAGACTTTAACTCATTTGTGTATTTCTACCCAGATTCTGCAACACCCCACAACCTCAGAGAGAAACTGCCACTCAAAATACTCACAGAATAATGGACTTAAAGGCATCATAGAGGATTGTGAATATATTTTACTGGAACTTGATTGCAACATCTTCATTGCCTCTATTTTTAGTTTTTAGGGATTCAAGCACATAGTTGGATGGGTAAATGCAGAGCACTAATTCCGAGTATGGGTCACCATACTTGGCCACATGTCACGTCACTTTAAACAGATATACACTATAATTCAAAAGCTGAGTTCAAGGTGCAACAAACAACAGCAAGGTGTTGTTTTTTGTTTTGCTTTTTTTTAAATTGGTATTTTTATTCAGCAAGGATGAATTAAATTGACCAAAGGTGACAGTAAAGTCTTTTACAAAGAAATTAAAAGAAATTATGAACTTTCTATTTAGCAAAAAATGTATCACAGTTTATTATTATAAATAAGATATTATAGATACCCACAACCTCAGAGAGAAACTGCCACTCAAAATACTCACAGAATAATGGACTTAAAGGCATCATAGAGGATTGTGAATATATTTTACTGGAACTTGATTGCAACATCTTCATTGCCTCTATTTTTAGTTTTTAGGGATTCAAGCACATAGCGCTGGAACCCTATTGTAATGGTTAGAATGTCGAAGGATCAGCATTTTCCACCTAAAAGTGATCGGGCAGACCAAACCGTAAGTCGTAGAGACTTGAAACTTTAAGAGATGGTAGTACTCACACCGTCTACAACCGTACTCACCAAGGCTCACGCCAATTGGCCTGATGGGGGCGCTATAGCAATCAAAAGTCCAAAATCCCTCATAACTCCTAAACCGTTAGTTACAGTCTCAAGTGCCTTATATCGTTTGAATCCTTGGCTCATAATGGACAAAATGCATGCCTCGGATTTCATCGTAAAATTTTCGGGTATTTTGGATTTTTTGAAAAACCTACTTTTGCGAAATAGCACTAGGTTTTTCACCCGATTGGAACCAAACCAGTGCAGAAAGATTCTCTGGAGAGTGGATATCAATAATTATCAAAAAAAAGTTGAACTTGCAACTCACCGTCGCGACAGGATCCCAAAATGTTCATAAAAGGTTTTACTAAAATGACTGTAACTCTTGAATGGAAAGAGATATTTTCGCCAAACTCGGAACACGGATGTAAGAGAGTTTGGCCACTTGGTGGAGCTATAACAGGGAAAAAACATAAAATTGTCTATAACTACACACCCGATAGTCCGATCGACTTGAAAATTGGTATGCCGTGTCTTTGTCCAATGTGCCACAAGTGTCTTTGAGGACATTCTCTTATCTCAAACTCCAATGAATTTTGAGCACCTATTATGCAAGGTTAACAGAGGCAGATCGGAACCAAACTCGGTGGGCATGTTTGACTCATGGTCCTAAAGGTCTGTAAGAATTTTGAAAGAAATTGGCCACTAGGTGGAGCGAACAAGTTTTATGCCTCTGTAATCACGTGGTGTTTCACACATCCACACAATATGCATATCATTTGATAGAGCTCTTCATACTGAACAACTTTGCCTCAAAGACCACTGCTGTCAGTCAAATTGTTTGTTAAATATTCTCGATTATGTAAAAAACGTGACGCGTCAGTTTAATTTTGAAAGAGAGCAAGATAAGACTGAAGTGACGTAACATTTAATATTTGTTTTAAGACAAAATTGACCTTTTTCCTCAAATTTCTCAGCTTTAAACTGAAAATATGGGATTGTCGTGATTCATGTAATTCCTAACTGAATGTGACGAGAAATGAAACGTTCTGCATTTTCGACATATTAGGCATGCAAATAGGAGTGAATGTGCGCATATTTTAAAATATTATTTGCAAATACTTCAAAATGATTACTTCTCAAAGAGAATTAGATATAGAATTTCCTTCACTGTTCTATTTGTTTATACTTTTCACCCCCCCC